CCAGGTTTATGAGCCAAGACTCCTCTTTAAATCAGGTTTATCAGCCAAGGCAAGCTTTTAAAGAAGTACAGTCTGACCAGGTTTATGAGCCATGGCTAGCCTTTAAATCAGTGCAGTCTCACCAGGTTTATGAGCCAAGGCTCCTCTTTAAATCAGGTTTATCAGCCAAGGCAAGCTTTTAAATCAGTACAGTCTGACCAGGTTTATGAGCCAAGACTCCTCTTTAAATCAGGTTTATCAGCCAAGGCAAGCTTTTAAAGAAGTACAGTCTGGCCAGGTTTATGAGCCATGGCTAGCCTTTAAATCAGTACAGTCTCACCAGGTTTATGAGCCAAGACTCCTCTTTAAATCAGGTTTATCAGCCAAGGCAAGCTTTTAAAGACGTACAGATTGACCAGGTTTATGAGCCATAGCTAGCCTTTAAATCAGTACAGTCTCACCAGGTTTATGAGCCAAGGCTCCTCTTTAAATCAGGTTTATCAGCCAAGGCAAGCTTTTAAATCAGTACAGTCTGACCAGGTTTATGAGCCATGGCTAGCCTTTAAATCAGTGCAGTCTCACCAGGTTTATGAGCCAAGGCAAGCCTTTAAATCAGAACTGTCTGACCAGGTTTATGAGCCAAGGCAAGCCTTGAAATCAGTGCAGTTTGGCCAGGTTTATCAGCCAAGGCAAGCCTTTATATCAGTGCAGTCTGGCCAGGTTTACGAGCCAAGGCAAGGTTATAAATCAAAACAATTTGACAAGGTTTATGAGCCAAGGGTAGCCTTCATATCAGTGCAGTTTGACCAGGTTTATGAGCACATGCTAGCCTTTATATCAGTGCAGTCTGACCAGGTTTAGTGCAGTCTGACCAGGTTTATGAGCCAAGGCAAGTCTATAAATCAAAACAGTTTGACAATGTTTATGAGCCGAGGCTAGCCTTTAAATCAGTGCATCTGACCAGGTTAATGAGCCAAGGCTAGCCTTTAAATCAGTGCAGTCTGACTAGGTTTATGATCCAATGCTAGCCTTTAAATCAGTGCAATCTCACCAGGTTTATGAGCCAAGGCTAGCCTTTAAATCAGTGCAATCTCGCCAGGTTTATGATCCAAGGCTAGCCTTTAAATCAGTGCAATCTCACCAGGTTTATGAGCCAAGGCTAGCCTTTAAATCAGAGTCTGGCCACGCCCTGTGCATTGCTTGCTTGCCTATATTCCCGATTAAGAAATTCATGTTATTAAAGGTTAGAATCATTCAAACTTAAAATAAAAACAAGTATTTTTCGCAAGTTCAACAGGGCACAGCCTAAATACTATATTGGACTTACTAATGATGTTATCATTTAAATCAAATCAATATTTCATCTCAAATCTCATCTGGGTATCTTATATCTGACATTACCTGCTATTACTCTGATAAACATTTATAAATGCATGAATACCCTGATCAGTGACCATTTAAACACAGTTTATGCTCAATTTACCCAATTCCTATACAAGTATTGTTGAGAACCAGTGTAAATCTTGAGATATGCATCCACCCAGAAAGAAACATTTTGATAAGATTGTGAACTGATGCAAAAATAGAAATTTTCAGAGTAAAAGTTAATAAAGTTTAAATGTACAGTAGTTATATTAATAAATTTGGATTGATTATTGAAACATAACTATGTGGGAATTATATTTAGTGAATTATAATTTATCCAATAAGATTGTTTTATTTTTAAATTTCTTTGGCGCATTTAATTAATTTCTTGCAATCAGCAACAACTTGTCATTAAATATCATCTACCGGTAATTCAATTAGAGTATCACATAAAAAAGATGTTTGGTACATTTTAAATTCCATAGATCATTTTCAATTTTGCCTATATGCCTTATTATGAAAACTCATTTTTATGAACACTTATCTTTTATTCATAACACTGCTAAATTTAAAGCAATAATAATCAAAGCAGTTTAAATCAATTACACAATTTACATTATTTGTCAAGTTAAAAGATATAGATCTATAAGGAAATAAATATTTCATGTCTAAAAATACATTGGTCTAATATTATTATCAACTGTCAACAACGAATCCAAGAGCTTAACCTGAATAGATACTTTGTACTAGCCTTATAATTGATTGCTGAAATATATGGCTTTTTTTCTGTTTCTATGACAACTATATAACATATTGTGACCAGACAATTCTTGTTGATCATTAACAATAAAAGACCAACAACATGACAATCACAAAATTACTAATCAAGATATTACCTTCCCTGTTTGCTTATTCTGTTGCTTATATACTTAAATGTTTTACTGTTTGTGTTTGTTTGTAATGAATGTATGTTTGTATTTCTGTCTGTCTGTATGTCTGTTTGTCTTCTTGTCTATATGCACATTTGTTTGTCTCTAATTATTTGTTTTGTTTGATTGTCTTTTGGTTTGTTTATTTGTTTGTTTTTCTGCTTTTCTACTTGTATATGCACATTTGTTTGCCTGTATGTTTGTTTTGTTTATTTGAGCATTTGTTTGTTTGTCTGACTTTTCATTTGACCGCTATTGTGTTCGTTATTTATCAAGAAATATTAATTTGTTGAAGATTTTTTAATTTAATTAATTTTTTTTACAGTTTTTCTTTGACTTTGATATGTTTTGTTGTTTTTGCAAATAGGTTATAAATATTAACTAAATATATTAAATATCTTAAAATGGATTTGCATATTTTTTAATCTGCCCAAATCATTCATCATTTTAGGGAAAATATGTACTGATTAATATCAAACAAAGCAAACCCTTATATCTTTGGCATAGGTAATGAACATTATATATCTACAAAGGCCGCACCAAATTGGCTTAATAAAGCTACTGCTACTGTGAGGCCCGTGTACAAGTAAGATGGGACAATACTTGCAGTCTTATATAGAGAATAAGTATTTCAATCAATTCAGTTTGACTTTTCTAATACGAACTAAAACAAAATTTCAACCAAGGCAAGTCATTCACAAGTTATGTTTCAAAAACAGATTGGGTGAAAATCAGCATTTGCATAATCAAATAATTTATACATTTATAATGAAAACCCCCATGCATTGCTACCTCCTCACAGCTGTGAGCAACTCGGCTCTTTTACAAGATCAAATTCAACATCCATACCTTGTAATGTACACCACTGACTGACAGCCCTTTACTTTGTGTTGCTGTCACAAGTAATGTATGACCACAATATAAAATTGTGTGAAACCCAACACCTAACTACAGATGATGCCCCAAAACTACAGTGGCTTTCTACATACTGTTCAAAAACTGTTCAGAGATGCACCTCAAGTTTATTTTGCACTTAAACAAATAATAAATGTAACATTACAAGACTACTTTTTCATACCAAATGGACAAGTTTCTTTTATGCCATACTTGGATGACATAACATTTTGTGTATGCAGGATAATGGGAGGGGTTTGAATGGTTGTTGTTGTTAGCCAAAATAAAAGGTCATTACTTTTTCTAATACTTTGAAATATTAATGCGAGTGGTATTTAGCACTGGAGCATAAACTTACTTGATGGTTATAATTTCTTGATGATCAAAACCAACAAAAATAGTCAGTAAAGATATATATTTATAATGCTTTATATAGATCATATTAAGAAGATTAATGAATAAGATACAACTATTTGACAACATTATACCAGCCAACAGCTGGTTGTTTACCTTTAATTAATAACAAATAAAACTGATCATATTATAAAAGTATGATAAATAATATCAGCAACAAGCTGTGCTAAGTAATCCGATCTTTCTGAAAACAGCTTGCTTCAAAAATTGTTCGAAGTCCCATACATCATAATTTGTTGTTTGTTTGATTGGGTTTAAATTCATACGGACACAGTATAGGTCATTTGGCGACATTCCAGCTTTACTGGTGGAGGAAGACCTCATGTGCCCTTCAGTGCATTATTTCAGGCACGAACGGGCACCTGAGTAGAACCACCGACGTTCCGTAAGCTAGCTGGATAGCTTCCTCACATGAAAGAATCCAAAGTCCCTGTCAGGATTCGAACCCACAGCTGTGAGGGGCAAGTGGTTTGAAGTCAACAACCTTAGCCACTCGGCCACGGACGCCCCACATCATTATTTAAACATATCTTTAATGAATCGTATTGAACACTCAATAAAAATATCTATTTTGAACACAAAAAAAATTGATGATTTAGAACACTCAAGAAATAAAATGATTTTGAATACACAAGACAATAGATTGATTTTGGATACACAAAAAATACAACAATTTTGATCACTCAATAAATTTAATGATTTTGAACAAATAAGAAAAAAGAGGATTTTAAAAACGTAAGAAAAACAATAATTTTGAACACTTAAGAAATATGATGATTTCGTACACCCATGAAATAGATTGATTTCAAACATGTAAGAAATGGATAATTTTTAACATGCAAGAAATACGACAATATTTAACTGTTACGAATAAAATAATTTTGAACACTTAAAAAATACAATGTGTTTGAACACGAAAGAAATATATTAATGTTGAACATGAAAAAAAAGAAGATAATTTTGAGCTTGAATTTATTTTTTTTAAATTGAGGACTCGATAAATAAAACAATTTGGAACACTAAATAAAATATCTTTAGAAATATTAGGAGTATGATTTTGTACATTCAAGAAATACAAGAAGTAAGAATACTTTAAATGAAACATAATGATTGTAACACTTAGGAAATAATGTAGTTTTAAACATTACATAAATACAAAAAATTTTAACACTGAAATACCATGCATGATTTTGAAGGCTCAAATTAATAATTTTCAACAACTCCGAAATAAGATTATTTTGAAAATTCAGAAAAATCAAGGTTTTGAACAGGGTTTATGAAATCGCTAAAGAAATCGACATAAAAAAACCCCATTTTTCTCATGATTTTGAACACTGGAAAAATTACACCTGTACTTATTGTACAATGAAGTAAAAAGAACTGAATGTTTATGTACACAAGTACCCCAATTGTATTCGTTTATTAGTTTAGCACACCTGAGCCTGATTCAATAATGAAACCATAGATGCCTACTTCAAACGAAACGAGATTAAATGTGTATTTGAAATGTCTGTTTAACATAAATATCTCAATAGAAGGTGTGCATTGGTAGGAAAATGTTTCGCCTATACTTCGGATATCTGGTGAATATCTTTTTTTTTATCAGTTTGACAAACACCGAAGTGGAAGTTCAGTTATGATACTTAAGTGTTAAAAGTATTCATAAACACGGGTGACATGATTGATATAATAAAAGGCACATCTACAATTAGGGAGAACTATTTAACATTTTATTTGGACTAATGAAATATTTCCATCAGATTAGGTAAGCATTTAACTCTTTAATTCTAATTTATGGTGGATGCCTTTTTTTTAAAATAAATTTCTACAAAATTAGTTTATTTACTTTTATTTAAATGTATAAATTTTAAAATGTGTAAAAGGACTGTAATGTGTAGTTTTAACAAGGAAGCTCTCTAAAACCCTTCCTATGTGCATGATTGTCAAAATATGATTTTTGTTGAGTTGCAGTTTGTGCAGGATTCATTTTTGTAAAAATAATAAAAAATAATAGAAAATAACAATATGAAAACTGACAATTTTGACATGAAAAAATATTTTGAACCCAATAAAATTTGCCCAAAAAAATTCTTCATAACAAACTAAAGAAACTATTAAATAATATAGTAGATAGACTAGCTAACTCAGTATTATTTGCAATTTCCACTATTCCAATGTTTTAGTTCAGTCAGCCTTAGGACTGTCAACACAGGTCACATCAGATGAAAAAGTCCACTAGTCTCTGGGTGCACTTCAATTCAACTAAAAAATATGATCAAATTCAGGCATAATTAAACCTCTATATATTTATGTGTTGTAAAGGGCTCATATTAAATCCAATTTAAGTCATAATTCAAATTTTTAAGTAAATTTTTTTCTTTAATTAATTGAGTCGTTGCATTTTGTGTGTTGTTTCTGTTTGTTTTCCACAAGTCAGTAGCTCATAAGCTTTTATTCTGCCATTACTTTAACTTGCTTCAAACTTTGCTTCAAAATGGGCACAAAAATGCATTGTATTTTATTCTACATCCATATATCATCTGGAAAATAATCGGTAACAAGATACTGGTAAATATTCAGTCAGAAGATTTATCATGCACATGTTTTTATCAGACCATGCATGGGATGTGGGGTATGAAATTAGATTTGCTGAACATCTTTGTTTCTGGTAATGGTCATAAATTAACCATGCTAAGGCCAATTTGTTCTCAATTCTGTTCACATTAACATTTTATTGTTTATGAAGAACATTTTTTTCTGACAGGATAGGGAAACAAGGCATTTTTGAAACAATTACTTTGTGAAAAACTAAAAGACATAATCTCACATTTGTAAAACAATGAAAGACATAACCTCTCATTTATGAAACACTGAAAGATCTAAGCACTCATTTGAAAGGCACATGTAACCTCTCATTTGTGAAACACTGAAAATCTAAGCCTGAATTTGTGAAACACTGAAAGATATAACCTCTCATTTGTGAAACAATGAAAGATCTAAGCCCTCATTTGCAAAACACTGAAAGACATAACCCCTCATTTGTAAAACACTGAAAGACACAACCTCTCATTTGTGAAACACGGAAAAATCTAAGCCCTCATTTGTTAAGCACTGAAAGACATAACCCCTCATTTTTGAAACACTGAAAAACCTAAGCCCTCATTTGTAAAACACTGAAAGACATAACCCCTCATTTGTGAAACACTGAAAGATCTAAGCCCTCATTTGTAAAACACTGAAAGACAGAACCCCTCATTTGTGAAACACTGAAAGATCTAAGCCCTCATTTGTAAAACACTGAAAGACATAACCTCTCATTTGTGAAACACTGAAAAATCTAAGCCCTCATTTGTAAAACACTGAAAGACATAACCTCTCATTTGTGAAACACTGAAAGATCTAACTCTTCATTTGTTAAACTCTTATAGATTTTACCCCTCATGTGTTAAACACTGATTGAATTTAACCCTCATTTGTAAAACACTTAAAGACATTATATAATATAGGATTTATATTTGCAAGTCTATAAAATTGATATGACTGTATATATATAATTATACCAAATTTAATCAAACATAATTTGATTAATTCAAGGAAATATTAAGTGGTTCAAATTAATCTTGTCCAACAAGAAACATGGCAATGCCATGAAACCAGGTTTTCAATTATCACCATTGTAGATAAATATGTTGTATTTGAAATACAAATACAAGCAACAAACAATGTAACTATGTGCAATGTAAAACATGAATAATGTAGGAGGAATTGCCACTGAAGAAGTGTTCACTATAATATTATGTATAAGGAAAAAAACAAAGGGCCATAATTAGGTCAAAAACTTTCCAATCACAAAACCCCGACAATATGTGCCAGGGTGCTTGATGACAAAGCTTCTGTGAAAGTTTGAACAAAATCCGTTGAGAAATGTAGGACGAGTTCAGCACAGAAGAATTTGTTCACTCTAATTATATTGATAATTCTGTATAATGAAAAACAAGTTACAAAGTAGACATGAAATAATATATCATATCTTTTTTAAATTACCTCCAAAGATGATATGACCTTTGACTGCCAAATTAAGTTAAAATCATGTAAACAGGATTTTCAATGTTAATGTCACTGTGACCTTGACCTTGGAGCCAGCCATGCGGAACATGCGTTCTGCACGTCATCTTGATGTGGTAAAACATTTGTCTGAAGTTTCATCAAAATTCTTCAAATGGTTGAAGAGTTACAGAGCGGACAGGATTTTCAATGTTAATGTCACTGTGACCTTGACCTTGGAGCCAGCCATGCGGAACATGCGTTCTGCACGTCATCTTGATGTGGTAAACATTTGTCTGAAGTTTCATCAAAATTCTTCAAAGGGTTGAAGAGTTACAGAGCGGACAGGATTTTCAATGTTAATGTCACTGTGACCTTGACCTTGGAGCCAGCCATGCGGAACATGCGTTCTGCACGTCATCTTGATGTGGTAAACATTTGTCTGAAGTTTCATCAAAATTCTTCAAAGGGTTGAAGAGTTACAGAGCGGACAGGATTTTCAATGTTAATGTCACTGTGACCTTGACCTTGGAGCCAGCCATGCGGAACATGCGTTCTGCACGTCATCTTGATGTGGTAAACATTTGTCTGAAGTTTCATCAAAATTCTTCAAAGGGTTGAAGAGTTACAGAGCGGACAGGATTTTCAATGTTAATGTCACTGTGACCTTGACCTTGGAGCCAGCCATGCGGAACATGCGTTCTGCACGTCATCTTGATGTGGTAAACATTTGTCTGAAGTTTCATCAAAATTCTTCAAAGGGTTGAAGAGTTACAGAGCGGACACAATTTCGTTTGACGCCCGCCCATCCGCCCATCCGCCCATCCGCCCGCCATACCCCAATCTAATAACCAGGATTTTCAAAATTGAAAACCTGGTTAATAACACTGTACTGTTCCATTTTTCAAATTTTTTTGATTGATTTAATCAGTACCATATGGTCATTAGATACTGTACTTGCAATGAGTTGAGATTCAAAACATAGTTTCAACCACTCCAGACCAAAGTAATTTCATTAATGATGACTAACAAACATCTGATATATACTTAACAGCTATAAAAAGTTGTTTAATATAAAGACAAGATTAATCACCAAGTCTTACAAGAGCATCAATTTAAATATTTGATTGCATACACAAAATTTCTTCTCAATTTATTATAACAACTGCCTGAACATATCAGTATACATTAATCTATTTTCCAATTTTAAGGTTTTATATTTTTTGATAATCTACCTTAAGCCACGCATCATAAAAAACAGCTGTTGGTGAAAAATCATTTCCATACAGTAGTTATTTCTAATAAAAACTTTAAAATACCAATTAAGTTTTTACGTGCCTAATTAGAGAACCTGTTCTCTGATATGTATCAAATAAATTATTCCTATCATTATATAGAGTGTCTGGAGTGTTTAGAAATCTGATATTTTTTACAGTAATTGAGGAGGCTGGCTGGCAAGAATTTCTGCTACTGTGCATGTGTATATATAAATATATGTAAAATATGTCCAATCTGACACACACTGGTTTCTGCCAAATGTCAAAATAATTCTGCATTCTTTCAGAAAAAGGGAAAGATGCACTACTTGATAGTTATGTTCAATAATTTAACAGAGCATGCTGTTACAATATGACTTCAGTGTGCAACGCTTTCTTAGAAAATGTAAATGTAGGATGCAGTTTTGAGATATTTGTGGTGGACATGCATGTGGTTTCTGCATAGTATCAAATAACCGAGTAGGTTATAAAATATTCATATAAAATATATTAGACTGGAAGGCAGTAATGATACTGTGCACGTGGTTCTTTACAGTGAATAGTTGTTATCCGTAATCCGGCAAATGTGGGGTTTTCCAGACTATCCCATACTTTGGCTGTTATAGCTTCACGGTGCGCTTTTGTTTAACTGTTGTGCTTATTTTACAAGTTTTAACTATAAAAGTTTGTTTGTACCCCAGGATTATCTGGGAAAACCAAAATATAGTCTTGATTCCAGAGTAAATCTATTATTAATACAACAAGCAAATTCGTTGAATTTATATCCCCCGCCGAGTACTGGTTATTATTAACACAACAACTGAAGACATTAGGCTTTATTTATATATTAATCATGGCATAAACAGTAATATTCTTTGAACTTGATAAATATTCAGGGAAATAACAGAGCCATAACTTTGTGTTAAATAGTAATATCTGGAAATGCCAAAGAGATGTATGCATACTACATAACTAATCAAGGGCCATAAATCTGAGTTATAAGTATCTGACTGGAACAAGGCGACTATATGCACATCTCCTCTTAGTATCCCATAAAGTTTCATTGAATTCCAGCCAGTAGTTACAGAGAAGTAGCACGGAAACCATTATTGCTCTGGTTGTATACTGCCTAAGTTATCAAGGGTCATAACTCTAAGTTAAAATGTCTGACCCGAACAAGGCGACAATATGCGCATGTCCTCTTCGTATTGAAGGTTCAAATAAAGTTTCATTGAATTCCAGCCAGTAGTTGCAGAGAAGTAATAAGGAAACGAATATTTTTCTATGTGGATACTGCAAAACTAATCAAGGGCCATAACTCTAAGTTAAAGGGTCTGACCGGAACAAGTCAACGATATGCGCATCTCCTCTTGATATTGATGAATCCCATAAAGTTTCGTTGAATTCCAGCCAGTAGTTGCAGAGAACTACTCCGGAAACGAAATAAAGACGGACGGACGGACAA